TCTATATTATAGAAAAGGTATTCTGCTTACCTGTTTTTATGAATGCCGGCAAATTGTCTGAAGAGGGCTCCACCGATCTCACTTCGCGGTCCCCTGTCGGACACTAGCTCGAAGTCGTTCCAATCCGGGTCCACGGCAACATTTGTTAGAAATTAACCCCATTCTTTTGTTGGAAGCACGAGGAGTGAAGACAGGAGAGGACTGTTTAAAATCAACAAAGTTTACTGAAAGTCTGATCACAGGAAATTCTTTACAGTGCTGGATTCAGAGAGACAGAGCTCCCGCAGGAAAACAGGCTTCTGGATCCCAAGTTATGTTTTTACATTACATTTATACTCTTGGGCTAGGTCCGCCACCAAACAATGGTCCAACAATTCATGCTGAAATGTGATCAAAACCAGGTGTGTGTGTATGTTGTGATGTGATTTTTCCAGGCGGCAACTGAACAATGGTCATCTGTGCTGCAGACCCCCTATCTGTGTAATCCTATTACGGGACAAAGCAGGACCTCATGAATACAAACACTACAGTATGTCTACATAGAAGTTAAAGTAGTCAATTTCTACTTCAGTATCACTTGACTCTCATCAATACAATTGGAAATTATATATGCAAGGAAAATAAATGTATTAAAGTAACCAACGCTCAGTAGTTCTGGACAATCATCAATACAGTTTTAACACGTATAAGCAAGGAAGGTAAAGGTATGAAAAGTAACTAAAATACAATGAAGAACTGAAAAGTAACTAAAGATTATAAAGTAACTAGAGCCTATAAGAATCAAATCTTACAACTTAATGTACGCAGATGATCTGGTGATCTTTAGTCCCAGCTCCGCAGGTCTCCAGCAGCTCTTGAATGTATGTTCTCTGGGGAGCTTCACGATGTCAAGTACAATTCTGCTAAAAGTGTTATTATGATATGCCGCACAAAAGAGGACAGGTCCCTTGCATTCCCCTTTTTTAAGTTATCTGGTAACATTTTAACTGGGTGTAATGAAGTTAAGTACTTGGGTCATGTTATAAATGATTATCTGATGATGGGGATATGTATTGGCAGTGCCGCATGTTGTATGCACAAGCAAATGTGTTGGTTCAGAAATTTGGTTTGTGCTCAGATGGAGTAAAATTGACTTTGTTTAGAGTGTACTGTACCTCCCTGTGCACTGCACATCTATGGTCTAATTATAAAAAGGCAGTCTTAGGAAACTGACAGTGGCCTATAATGAGTGCCAGTGAATTGTTTGTCATCTCGGATCAGTACACTATCTGCTTTTTAAGAAATTTGATGTGTAAATTTATTTGTCGTTTGAATAGTTCTGGAAGCAACATTGTTTAATTGCTGACTAATATTGCATATAGTGACATGCAATATACTTCAGTACTTTGGAAACACTGGTATACCTGCCTTTTAAAAGGGTAGTTGTTTATTGGTTGTTGTTCTTGTTGTTGTCTTTTTATTGTTATTTATTAATGATTGTTTCATGGTTTTATTGTTTTTTTTAGCATTTATACATCTGGACCTTGAGTCTGTAATAAAGTATCTATCTATCTATCTAGTCTAAACTAATAGCTGGTAAAGACATTTACACACGTGATATTATAACCAGTAGTCATATTGAGTACTACATGTTTTCCTTGTTTTTTCGCAGGGATGCCACTCACTCTCAAGTTTGCCTGTGTAAATCTGTAGATTCCATCCATAGCTGCTTTTTGCATCACAGGCTGCCCAGATTTCACTGTGGCGACCCCTAAAGGGGAAAAGCCGAAAGTGACACAGCCTTATGCTGGTTTGCTGTTTACTTGCCCCTTGCATGGGGATATGTACATACACATTGAGAACCAATGTACCAGAGTCTAATTCCTCGTGTGTCTGACACACCTGGCCAATAAAGCTGATTCTGATTCTGATGTCTGTCTTTGTTTTATTTGTTCAGGAAAGGAGACAAACAAGCAAAGAAAGAAGCCCCTAACTAAAGCTCACAGGGTTGAGACAGAAGCTGGCTGTCAGTGGGCCGTTGGCTAACAGTGTTAGTGATCTAACAGTGTCTTTATGCTTTCAGTTTTGGCACTAATTATTGTTTTATAATCTTATATTATAACTAGGTCAAAACCCACCCTAACAACACAAAGATCATAATTTTCACCAAAGCATTTTATAATTTAGTGAAACAAATTTTTTTTGTTTTATTTTGTTTAAATAGAGGTTCCTGACAAACTCTAAGAGCCTTGATGCAATAACCACATTTATGTGCTACTTTTATACATTTAAAACATAAAAATGGGTTAAGACATTCTTAGTTACAAACATCATTCAGGCATCAAACTGTTTGGCCTTTTTAAGGACATGTGTGCTATGTTAAATTGGTTTCTCCCCATTTACTCATTCTTTGTTGAACATCCAAACAGCTGATGCTTGTGGCTCCTCTTATTTGCCTCTCCCCTCCTGCTCAATGCAGACACACACCAATCACTTGAACAAAAAAAAAAGTGTGCCAAACATGAGACGTCTCTGGCTCCCAGGTAGCAGCCGGCTCCAATCGTTTACTTCAAAGAGCCAACTCTAAGAGCCTTTTCCTTCATGACCGACGCATCCCTACTTTAGATGTCTCAGCTCTGTGGGGGAGCCTTCAAAGCAAATAGAAACTGAGTAGAAAAACACTTAACTCCAGCAGCTAGAAACACTGTTTAAATTGTAATAAACTCATGACATGTTCAGCTATACATCAACAGCTTTTTCATATCTCTTACAGTTTTTGCATAATTGCCATTTATATGTTATGTGCCAGTCCATTCATTTTGCCAGACACACTCAAGACTTCAATGACAGTGCTCAACTGACACCTAATTGTGAATAAAATGCAATTCAATGTATTCAGTGGTAGACTTCAAATCCTCATCCTCTTTGAACAATTAAAATGCTGGCATACATTCAGCTTCAATCTGTTTTTTGGGCACTTTATAACTCCAGCATACATTTACCTATAAAGGCCATTCAGGTACTAAACTGTTTAGCTCTTCAAGGACTGCTTGTATTTATTGCATCTCATACTTTAGATTATTCAACAAAGAACTTCAGCCATTTCTTCTCAACTATTTCAACAAAGAACTTCAGCCATTTCTTCTCAACCTTCAACTATTTCAACAAAGAACTTCAGCCATTTCTGCTCATCCTTCAGCTCTTTCAGCAATTGATTTCAGGCATTTTCAGGATGATCCTTAAGCATATCAGCATCCAAATGCATTTTTAACAGGAAATGCATTTGTCTAGTTTCAAACTGTTTTTGGCTCTTTTTTTTCCCTCACCAACTTTTGAGGAAATGTTACTTTTTAGCTGTTCAAATCAGTTTGGTGCTGTTAGCTACTGTATGGGTAGACTCATTGGTGATTGTCTACCACATATAGAAACAGATCTGATGTGAGTGACAGTAGTGAAGACAGCTGCCACAGTGAAGAAAGGCCAGAAGCGACTATACCTCATCGGGCGGCTCAGAAAAGCTGGGCTGAACCATCGCCCTCTCACCCAGGCTTATAGAGGACTGGTATCCCTACTGGCATCACAGTCTGGTATAGTAACACCACACAGGCAGAGAGGAAGGCTCTTCAAAGGGTCATAAAGACTGCAGAGGGGATCATTAGGACTGAACTGCCTGCTATGGACACACTGTACACACAGTGCTGTCGTAAAAGTGCAGAGAACATACTCAGGGATCCACGCCACCCAGCCCACTTGCTGCTCAGACACAAAAATTGCACCTACAGCCTCAGGCACAGCAGGGCGGACAGTATCATCACACACAGAACAAGACTTTACAACAGCTTTTTCCCTGCCACAGTAATACTGATGGCAAATATGAAAATATGAGAATATACTGTATGGGCAATAACCCCTCACTAGACATGCACAATAATAATACAGAAATGTTGCACAAGGTATTTTTTAAGAGCATCTCATCAAGAGGGTTCTCTTATGGGACCTAAGTAATAGCAGGACATTCTCTACCAAGCAATGGAAACAACCCTGAATATTAATTGTGTTTTAGTATGTTATAACCCCTCACTACCTCACTAAGTGTAATGACATATCCAACTTCACTATGTGAATTACTAAGTGCGATGTTTGAAGTTCACTATTTTTGTGTATTGCAGTTTTAATGCTTTGTCGCCTTTATGTAACTTTTTTTTTATTCTAAGACTAAGTGTTCTTTCTGGCTTTTGACTCTTTACCTGACTCCAAAGGACAGCTGCACAAGAATTCCTATATGCCTAGACTGTCTGTTTATGCATAAATGGCAAATAAAAATCTTGACTTGACTTGAATCGGACCAGTGAAGTTGTAGACTACTAAACTAGGGCAATGATTTTAAAGAGGCTAAAATGTAAAAGTTGAGAGCAACTGCAGACTCAGGTTATATTTATATGTAAGTTTATCATCCCAAGTGACCCCTTTTACGTACACATAATAGAGTGTTGACTATAGCAGTGTTAAAGGAAAATACCAGCTAAATTTTTAGACAGGAGAGTTGCTGTAGACTTTTTTGGAGAAAAACCCAGTGTACTGCTTTACAGGTCAAGAAACACCACAAAAACTTATTTTACATGTCCAGCTTCAATTCCACCACTTTACTGGCAAATGCTCAGTTTATGCATTTTGTGCCTCCAACTTAATTCCTGTGGACTGACTTCTGGGTCAAAGAAGAGGCCATATGGTAACACCCTCTTCAAGACAGGCAGTCTTGAGATTTCTGCAAAATATGGTCTTAATTTGAGATATAAAAATTCTATACACTGAACCAACCATGCAGCTGTTGCTCAATTTTCCACAAACAAGTGTAAAAATCACCCAATGACATGAGATAAACCTTTTCCAAATTGTTGTTTAGAATCAGAAGTCAGTACTTTTATACTATACTAAAACATGTAAGGGGACAATAAAGATAAATTCTAAGCCTGAATTATTTACTTTTATTAGACATATTATATTAATAAGGCAGACAAACAGAAGTGGAGATGCAGATAGAAAACACAGTGTACATTGTCTTGGACGGGAAACATACAGTATGAGCTGCATTTGGGATCTGCAGCACACACACACACACACACACACACACACACACTGCAGCTCCTCCTGGACACATAGGATGTGGCTCTAGCAGATGACCTGTCACAAGGCATCAAATTAGATGTTGCTACACAGAACCCAGAACAATGTGAGGGACTTTTTCTAGGAACCTACAATAAAGTTGGTTCAATCTGAAGAGTAATTCAAGCATTTATGTGTAACAGATGATCCTGCAGGGCTTTCATTTTGTCCATTACACTTTCCTGGCAAGGATCCTGGACCAGGGGGCCTCTAGTCTATCAGTGTAGCATATCAGTCTGTGTTTGAACTTCTGATTTACTGGGTACAAATGGCTTGTGATATGACACGTGTTACACAAGAAGAAGAATATCTACATAGAAGTCTAATTTATTATAGTACCTGACTTTTTTACATAAGCTGCATGCGCCCAGAATGTGTTGAGTTTCCAAGTACAAGTTACGGCATCGTTAATAGCATTGTTCAACAAATATAGTGCATGATAAATTACTGTCTTGTCTGAGCCCTGGTAAAAAGCCAGCTGCTGCTCTCCAGTTATGTAGCATGCCTCCCACGCTGCCCTGTCATGACTCAGTGCTGAGTAGGACATTAGTGGGTCTCTTCCTAGTATTGAGCACTGTGTGAGAGGGCCATTCCTCCTCACTGGCCCTGGACTGAGTTTAGCATCATGGAACTGCTGATAGCAGCTGAAGTCCCAGGAGGTTACGCAGGAGTTCAGCTGAGTTAATCCACCCACAGGGTGTCCTGTCAGTCAAGATACAGCGAAACAAATGTGGGGCCAGATTTGAGCAGGGTTGTGTTTGTGGAAAACTGGAGAGTGTATTCAGCTGGGTGGTCCCCACACTCAGCTCCCGCATCAAAGTATAGACCAAAAGGGACTCTTCCTTTTGCATATACAAGGTTTAGTATATGCAAATTACAGTTTGGCTCTGTGACACAGCCTGAGCACCCCCTGGTGGTCCCATAAACAGATGCAACTGACAGGCATGTACATTATGTGAACCTACATTCTTACACATACATAGACATATACAACTGTGGTGCAAGAAGTAGGCTGATAGGTTCTTTATATTGGTTAAAGCAGTAATACCACAATGTGAAAACACCCCATTAATCCATCAAGTCCTACACTCAAAGTTTTACTTAAGTGTTATTTAAAGTAACTCAGTATGTAGCAGAATGGTGTCTGTACTGTGTTATCATATGCTATGTTGTTTCTTAATCATTACTAAAGAATTTTCAAGTCAGAAGCATAGTGTTGTGGCTCATCAAGGTGGAGCAAACTGTGCAGTTTAATTTGTACCGGTACATCATATTTTATAAACTTAGCATCTATATGAAGTTTTTCTGCTCCTGCTAAACTAAAGCTGTGTGCACTGCAGCCACGAAAAAGTTGATGTTTACATTGTAAAGTTTGTCTCTGAGATCATCAGCAAACCCCAGTGTTTTGTAATACAACTGGCATAGTCTGAAAGCAACAAGTCTGGGTCCCTTGTTGTGGTATTTTAAAATGGAATAGATGGAACTGATATCAAGACAACAGAAATGTATGGTCCCAGTAATCAGTCCTGAAGCACACAGCCACAGCAGGTAAAGGTAATCCAGGTAGGTGGGACATGGGCATGGCAGGAGACTTTAAGGTCAGTGTTGTGTGTTAGGGAGATCAGACAGTTAGTGAGAAGAGCTACAGGGATGACCCAAGTAAAAGTAGCAGGGGATCCAGTGAGGAGCAACCAGGACTGTGCAAAGGTTTCCTCTGATATGGCTACTGTCAGCTCCAGTGCAGGTGAGTCCAAATAAGACATTTAATATACACTATTGGTACATTAGAAATTGAACTTTTATGCAGCTATGGCCTCCTATTCATAGTTATAGAGTTAGAGAGTGTGATCTAAAAGGTTTTGTTTAGAGGAATCGGTTTAAAACTTGAAAATATGTATGGAATTTATTTAACATCAAAATAATTTATTTTGACACTGAATACCAGCAGAAAATGTTATGGGGTCAACTTTGGGCCTCAAAAGCTACTGATCAGATCCTAAGCACCTGTAACTCTTTGAATTTCTGAGCAAGAGTTCTCAAACTTATTACCAAGTACCCACATTTGTTTACTACAAATGGCACCAGTTCAAACTTCTGCAAGAATATCATGGTGTCTCTTTCTTACAAGCTACCCCGCTACTGGTAACACATGCTGGGGTAAGTTGTAACAGCTAGATGAAAGAAGCAGAAAGAGAGGCCAGATATGCATCAAAATATAAGAACAATCCAGAACAATGGCTCTGTCTCATTACTCAAATCCACTTTTTGTTTAACTCAGGAGTGTGTGATCATGTGTGTGTAAATTAGGCTACTAGGACAAGCGTCCTTAAAAGGTATGTATGCGGTGTACCTGTGTAAAGACCATATAGGTCTAATAAAAAATAATGATTTGTGTGTCACTATCAAAGTCACAATGGTGACAATTGAATGTTGGTATCCCTGGAGTGCAGGTGTGGTGGGCCCAAAGACTGCACGGTGCACATTTTACCCACACTTCTGTAGGCTTTTTTTTAAAACCACTGGCAGATACTACTTTGTCATTCTTTATTTTCAACTGACGGTCAGCAGTTATTTAGCTAGCTGTATTAGTATGGTGGTTTGAACCTAGCAGGGGAAAATGCATCACATTTTGCCTGAGAAACAACAGTTTAATCTAATATAAGTCATAGTATTTTACTAAACAAAATATAGTCTTAGTTAAAAAATTGACTTCATTACCTCAAAGTTCTTTTTTTTAAATATATTCTGCACACACCTGTTTCCACACTTGACAACATCCATGCAGGATTGTAGAGGACACGTCTAAACACTGAAATTATCATATCACCCCTATTTTATCACTAACTGGTGGAACCGGTATTACAACTCTCCCCGTGTTATAACCATCCCCAGTCACCCTTAATTGTTGATTGTGCCTTTTAGCAATGTAAAACATTTAGTGTCCAATTCAAACTAGTCAATGCAGGCCAATTAAATTCTTTAAGAATTTCATTTTTGACAAGTTTGAATCAAGTTACAAGATGTGCTAAAAGAATAACAGAGAAAAAACTAATTGTCTCTAATGCCAGTCATCCAATGTGTATCTTGTGTGACTTTTCTAGCCACCATGTTGTGAACAGACAAGGTCAGCTCAGACCACCAGTCTGACAGATGAGTCACTTTGTTAGTTACTGTGCTAATAATCTTGGTCAAATCCCCCAGTTTCTGGTATCCCTTTCTCATGAGCTTGTCTTTGACAGCTAAAGCTCTGCTGCTCTCAGGTTGCCTTGTGGCAGTGGGAACCATGAATTCAGTGTAATCCCTCTTTTTTGAGAAAGTCATTAGAGAAATGTGCTCTTGCAATTTAAGACCGCTTTTTAGTATCATGAAAACCTGGGAAACCCAAGGAAGTCAAGAAACAGGAGCTGTAAAGTAAGTCTTTTTCAGCAATCACATACAGCCTCAACCTTTTTTTCCTTCAACCTGAAAACAGATATAGGCGAGACAGTGATGAAGGGGTCATTGTGTGAGACCCCCATGACTGCTGGTCTCAGCAGGCGGAGCAAGGCCTACCCTTCCCCAGCCAGAAGACGCCACCGCACCACCTTCAGCCACAAGCAGCTGGAACAGCTGGAAGTGGCCTTTGGACAAAACCAGTACCCGGACATCTACTACAGAGAGGAGCTGGCCCGCATCACCAAGCTCAATGAGGCTCGCATTCAGGTGGGGCAGCCTTCAAATTATACTCCCATACAGCTTCAGCTTTTTGACAGTTGTGATGTGCAACACCTACGCTGTACCATCGACCCTGGTGAACAGCAGTGTGTTCCTGGTATTGTACCAAGGAGTGCAAGCTAATTAATCTGTCCTGTTCTGGACCCATCTTTGTCACAACAGGTTTGGTTTCAGAACAGAAGAGCCAAGCAGCGCAAGCAGGAGCGGGCCTCCCACAAGGTTCTGCCAGTGGGTGTAATGCCAGGCCACAGGACTCTGCTGGGAGGCATGCATGTGCAGCCGTCCAGCGTGGCTCGGCAGTACTACACCCAGCCCCTGACTCATATCCCCCGCCTTTCCCCCATGCTCCCTTCTGGGGCATACTCGCGCCATCCAGGCACGGTAAACCAGTGCCCCTGCCCCAATGTCCCACCAGAGTTGACCTCCCAGCACCCCCAGCCTGACAACTGGTATGGCCCTCTGAGAAGCAACCTCACCTCACCTATGTTCTCACTGTCCTCCATGCAGCCTCTGGACCCCGCCTCCCACTGGAGCTAAGATGTAACCAGGGAGATGTTTCAAAATAAAATGCATTCAAACTTTTCCTTGACATCCGCACCATGTTACACACACTTCCTGGTGACCTTCCATTAATCATAACCACTACTTGTCCACCCCCAACCCTTCCCCCTAACCTTATACCAAGTTGTCACCCTAATATTTAACAATTTATGAGGAAGGCTGAGTCCCCACAATCTAAATATGTAAACAGACTTTGGTTCCCTCATTGTAATACCAAGTGCAAACACACGCACAAACATGCAACATTGTTTTACTGCTTTTGAGCCAAAATTGTTTTAAAGTGCTGCAAGTTCTTAACTATTTTACTGTAATGTAAAATGAAGCTGCACGGTTTGAAAACCTTTGCTTTTCATAAATGGCAAGATCCTACACCATTATTCACCCCCAAAACGAGAGAGACAACTTTACACAATGAAGTCTAGGGATTACAGTTTTAATGTTTCACACTGCAGACACAACACAGTTGCATCTGTTATGCTTGTTTTTTTTGTTTTGTTTTTATTTTCACACTCAACAACCTGAATTGATTGAAGAATCAATACTGGATGGCAAAAAATATAGAATTTATCTATAGTAAATTATACTTCAGAAGAAATCACAAATAGATTCAATAAATGCTGACACACAGTCAGACCTGAAATGTCTCATCTATATCCATTTTAAAAGAGCGCTAATATGTGAAGCAAGTCTATTGTGCACAAGTGCTTTACTGGTCAGCTTGGGAAAAACCTGCAGTGGCAGCAGCACCAACCAGTGTGCTTTAAGACAACCTTATCCAATGAGAAAACACCTGAAACATCCAGTAAAGTGAGGAGTTACACTCACTTAATGACAACAGGTTAATGTCAAGTGTCTGCTGGCTGACCGATTACAGCGAGGATAATGGTGCTCATGTTGTTGTCATGATCATTAAAAAGACAACAGCAAAGCTCAAGATGTGCCACTTCAACCTGCTGCTGGCAACATTCAGTTCAGGTTTTCTACTCTCTACACACAACACAGACTATAGATCTGAGAAAAGCCACTTTCTGTTGTCAGGGGAAAGTCAGCCCTCATCACACAGGGTGAATGAAATGGATTCACAGAAGGAATCATTTGGTCCTGTGTCAAACAGCAAGTGTGTGTGCTTGTTCATGTAAAGTCCACCATTTACACAGTATGAAATGGGAAGCATAGTCCACATTAAGTGATGACCTTTGGTTTACATGCTATTGTGCTACCAGAGAGAAGTAGATGTAGCACTACTAACACAGGAACACATGCAATTTTCAGTATTACAGGCCATTATAAATGTGTTCTATTTGTCCAGCTTTTGAGAGATTTTCCACTGGACAGTTTTTGCTAGCAGTTGCACTTTGGGGAAAAAATAGTTCCCCAAGAAAGTGTTGGAATTTATTGTTGACATAAGTCAGAGATCTCAGAACCACAGCAAACTGAACTGAGGGTATATCTACATGATTTAAAAATGGTTTGTTAGTGATGCTGGCCCTTTCAAAAGATCAAAAACAGGAGGAGCAGGAAAGTCCCTCAGTGAAGTATAAGCATACAACAGAGTCAAACAAAAAAAAAAGGCTTGCATTGTAACTCTTTTGTTATGCATTAAATTACTGGTAGAATTTGTTTTGGAAATGTTTAGAAATTTTCACAAGCTTCATAAATGACTAACAACCCTGACTGATTGTTTGTGAGAGACTAGGAGAGGATTTACACATCTTGTGATGCAGTGCTGGCTCCACCTATGCTCACTGTTGGTCCTTCCCTGGTCATCATTGTTGACATGAAGATACATGAAGATGCTCTATTCCAGGGATTTAGCAAACTCTGCATAATCTATATAGCCATCACTGTTTTTGTCATCGTCCCTCAGAACATCATCAATGAGAGCGATAAGTTCTTCCTCCTTCATAGGCTGGCTGCTTTCTCCTCTCTCCTGGGGAAGACAACAAACTTCACATAGATGCACAGCATTATGTGGTAACATGTTAGGCAACAACAGATGTTATTCACTAAGAAAGCTACAATGTTTATATTACTTAAAATGAAAAAATGAAATCAATGAACTGAATCAAATCTGATAAAAAAAATGGTTATTTTTAAGTGATTAACAAATTTCTCAGTGTGATGCATTTTATTATTTTAACCCCCCCACCACACACACACACACACACACACACACACAACTATTGGA